ACTATTGACTTTTACCCTGCGAGGCGATAATTTACGTATCCTCGTAACGACCACCTCTGTTGCGATTATTCGCTTTTTTTTTAGTCTCGATCAATTTCACATATTTTTTTTGCCGTAATTGTCAAGATAGTTAGAATGATAATTGCGATGTTGTAACATCTGCGGCCTTTCATTTAACTCTTATTATGTAAAAATCTGCTTAGCAGAAAAACTTGAAGAAGAATTTGCGTACGAAATATCAAGTAATATACTGAATTGAATGTAAATCCAGATAGGGAAACCCTTGCGAAACCCTCGAAAGATCTTCATCTATTATCGGCACTGTATTGTATATCGAACACAGAAGCGAGCTTCAATTCGAGTCGTCGTGTATAATCAGGCCTCCGCGATATTGTAAACAAATGATAATCACGCATAATCGCTCATGATCATACCGTGCCGTGTGTTTGTTAAACACATTTCTTCTTCCGCGATCTAACAATTTTGTAATTAACGATTCGACGAATCACGTGTACGTGCAATGTGCTCTAATCGATGTGCCGCGATATTTCCGTGCGTGCACGTTTTTTGAAAAATTATGTCATAGTTTTTACAAAATGTTACATAAAATTTATTATCAATGTAGCGAGTGTGTAAACACAAACTTAGGAATTTACCAATAATTTAACAACATTACAATCAAATTGAAAAAGTTGTATGCAAACGGATATGCATAAGTACAGAAAGTTTTTTGCTCCTTTGTTTATATTACAACAAAATATTCCAATTCGTTTTTTTTGTCTTGTATGTATTAAACAACTAATTAGCGATAAGTGATTATACGTATTTGGTATCTCTTTAATATTTTTTACATCACGTTGCAGCGAAAGTGATTTTTACGGTATTATAAAGTATAATAATTGATATGGTAATAGTTTATCGATAAGCGACAACTGGGAATAATTCAATCGTTCAAAGTGCTGCTGTTGCGTAACAATGTGAATTTTTGTCAATTTTTCTGACGAGACGCGTGCATTTATCGTGGTAGCATCATGATTTAATGATGAAATAACAAGACGACAAGAACTATATATAAATTTATTTATTTTTATTCAATTTATTTGCATTGAAATACAAGTAACTTGTTTATATAATTTCAACCCAAAGATTGAATCAAGTTATGAATCACTTGTTGTGACACGTGGCTTATTGTATTTTTTTTTTTTTCGATTTATATTACACCTTTTGTCAGCCTCAGCATTTATATATATTTTTGTCTAGATGTATTATTAATTAATTTTATAATAACAATAATTGTTAAAATGATTTTATTACTGTAACAATCATTATTTTTATCAAAATTAATATTACACTATAGTTTTTAGTACTGCTACAAATTAAATTTGCTTAACTTCGACTCTAATTAATTGTAGAATTTATATTTAATAATAAATGGAAACTCAAGAGAGCTTTGCGTGCATTTCGTATAAAATGCATCTTGACCGAGCGGCCTCGAGTTGTTTACAAGTTTGGAATTAAAGTACGCGCCGGGGGTTAAATACCTCCGCGGGTTAAATGTCTCCGCTCGAGATCGATCGCGCGGAGAAGCGAGACCGGTCACAATTATCGACGCGTTTTTTGTCCGGCAGATTATAGAACCGCGCGCCGCGACTGGACGATCGGCACGTACATACGTTCATTCACGCAAAGCACGCGGGACAACCGATCACGTTTCTGCCGTAACGTGACTCGGGCTGCACGAGTGACGACGATGATCCTCTGAGCAAACGTGAATCGGACGGACAGTTTTATGCACTGTTTCACTCGCGCCGAGCACACAACGCCGACGACAAGAGCGGACGGCCGATAAATCTCTCTCTCCGGCGATTTATCTCCGGTAAATCACCTATTCTCTCCGTTCGACATCAAGGCTTGCTTGCTCGTAGATGCAAATTCGTTGGCGCTTTTAAAATTTCGCGTAAGGAATCTCGGAGAAGTGCTGCGCGAGAAAGATTTATCTCGCGGCCCTCGGCTGAATTGCAAATCTCTCGGGATTCTTCGAATCATAGCAACGCGCTGACGAAATATATATATATATATATTTTTTTTTTTTCGTCGCGTTTTTATATTATCAGAGTTTTTTTTTATCTTGTTTTGCAGCCAAAAAATTAAAAAAAACGAGCATGTGTCTTGTTATTGCGAAAGAAACAATATTGGCTCATCTTTTTTATTTTTTTTTTCTTTGCAGTTCCAGAGAAGAACTTGTGTCGCCTTGTTCTTTGCCTAATTACATTTATAGCACGACTGACGCAATCGTTGAATAAAATATAAGCTAGCTTAAACAATCTTGTTTTCACGCCGTCGCAACAGTCGCAGCTGTTGCTTTCGTACGTGTCTTTGCCGGTGCGTTTTGAAGATCGGAATTAGCCACCAAATATAGCAATAGTTGCGCAATAATTGCGCACATTTTCTTGCATTTGGCGCCGAAGAAACGTTCTGCGTTTCAGACGTGAGCCCGTGTCTCTGCGTCGTTAGGTGATTCTTATAAAACGCTCGCGGAAACGTATTACAGATGCATACTTCCTAATTGCGAAGCTTCGCTTGGGAAGAAAAAAATCGTGCAGCATGCATTGTTTTGCTTAACACACGTGGGTCATAAATTTTCTCGCTAAAATTCAAGGTTGATGATAGCACGAGTGAGATAAAATTCAAATAGCGCAGAAGTGCGGTCGTTGTATATTCTGAATTCGTTATCTGATTGTCAAGTTATATGCGTAAGATGCACCAAAAATATGTTAATAAATTCAAAGAATAATTTCTTATTTAATAATATTTTACTATTTAAGTAAAATCTATAAATATATATTTGTAAGCATTTTATAATCGACAGAGAGAGAGAGAGAGAGAGAGTTTCACACGCTCGTTACGACAGCATTGTTATAATTTTTATCTTCTGCATTATTTTGCAAGAAGCGCAGCAAGTCACGTCCAAACGTAACAACAGAAGTCCACCTGCCACATAACTATGCAAGTTATATGAAGGCAATTATCCACGCTGGACGCACATGTTTCAATTATAAGAAAATGTTCGTAAACAACATGGCAGCACCGCGGTAATATAGGTTATTCAACGAATAATGATAGACGGTTTTAGAATTGGAAAAACGTATTAGAAAAAGCAAAAATGCCGGTCCGGAAACGTTTTTCCTATGTTCTTTCGCAACGTGACAACCGATCGTTATGCTTCGACAGCTCGCAAAATGCTTTTCTGCAAAAAGTAGAATTTGTAGTTAATTTTGTAAGCAATCTTTTCAACACCTATTTTAGCATTGTTCGTTCAAATGCGTTTAAAAGCAGTATTCGTAAGAATTGTCGTATGATTATTTTTAAAATATTTTACAATTAATTCATCGTAAGAAGATTCATTATTGCGCATAATATGATTTCGAACAAAATAATGACAAGTATATTTGGAAAATTTACTATTGCGCATTAAATCATGTTTTTATAAATGCTAGTTATAAAACTGGTGACAAGTAAAACAGGTAAATAAAATATTGACCGGATTTTAATAAAGATTGAGAAACCAATCGCTGCAGTCGTAAGATTTCCGGTGAAAACCGTAATTTCCGGCGAGATAAATTGACCGGACGAACGTGTACTCGCACGTCTCGCGTACTACGGCCTTAAAACGTGCGTAATACGCAACAATCGTGTACTACAAATGCATCAAACCGTAAGCTTGCTTTCCGTCCTTGTTTAAATTCTTATCAATGCAGATTCTCTACGCCAGTCCGCTTTGTGAAGATAAATTTTTCACGTTTTGCGTAAAGTTTTTACAAGAATGGTAATTTTGTTTCGTGTTTATTTCGCACTTAAATGTTACGCAGAACATGCCGCAAAAAAAATTATTTAATATTGATCAGAGCGCCAATTATCTGTATATAAAAATTATTAGATTTTATAATTACTTAGCAAGTTTTTATAAGAATAAAATATTTTAAGAATAAAAATTTTCAGATAAAATTAAATAGCTTTTTTTTAAAAAGAATCGTGTTTGTAAATGCGGTAAAAATTTTGATGTAAAATAGTTGCTGACTGGTTTTTTTTGTTTGTTGAAATATTCCACGTGTTATGGATCTTATCGATTTCCTTCGCCTGTATTTTTCATTAGCGACACATTTAGAGCGAACAAATAACACAGCTTTTCTGATGTACTCAATTCTGGAGCTACATTTTTTTACTTTTTATTATATATTTATTTAATTAGTTGAAATATATTTGCTATTTATACATTTAGAGTTAGGCAAATTTTTAATTTAAGTTTTTTTTTAGGAAAAAAATTTTTACGTAGAATTGGTTCTTCGATGAACACGCGATAATCGAAGAAATCAAGCTGCGGTTTTTATCTCTGTATAGCACTGTAAATGCCATAATTCTTCGATCGTATTTGTGTATTCGACCTTGCTTTTCAAATACTTTTTAAGACGCCGTTGCGAGCCAAGGATAAATAACGAATGAAGAAATTTTACACAACAAATTCCACGGAGAAAAAAAATAGTCATTAAACTTTAATATTAGGATCTTTTAGCGATTTCGACATAGACCTTTAAATTTGTGTCAATAATCATCTGCGTAAAATTTCTTACAATTAATCCTGATTGATGATTCCACACTAATTGTAAGCTAGTTTATCTATGTCCAAAATCAAAAGGACAAAATCAAAAGGAGCAGATAAGAAAAACAGTTTCTTAATTAATATCTTTTCAGGCTACAACTCTAATCGAAAGTTCTTTCGAAAATCAAGCTATCAATTAACCTATGACTGTTCAGAAAATTTATCATTGAAGAACACCGAACTGTGCGAGTTCGGTCGGGATCTCAATTAAATTAAATTTATGTTTGCGAATGATTTTGCGCGCCTCGATTATGTCCGATAGAATAACATTGCATTAAATCGATCAGCCGCGCCACGGCGAAAGTCGACCACGCATTGAACAAGATCGTCCGTTCTGTTTCAGAGATACGCTGCGAATTCCGCCGGCAGGCAAGAAAAACGCGCGGCGGCGCTCGCGGAAGAAGAGGAGATGACACGGGAGGTCTCGCGGCACTAACGAAGCCGCGACCTTTCCGCGCGCGCACAATGATAGAGAGAACGGCCTTGAAGTCGGCGAACGACTAGAGTCTGAGCGATCGACAATCGCTTACGCAGCGGTCACTTAGCGCTGACGGTTCATTCGAGTTTCACAATCGCCGGCAATCGCGCCGATACTCGAGACAGCTCGCCTTTCCCACCTGAAGGGACTCTCGATCCCGATTCGCCGATATCCGCCGTTCCCGCGAATCAGCTGCGGCGAAGTGACGCGCGCACGATGTGGCACGGTGATTCGGCCGCGAAGGGATAAAGCTTTTTGTCGAGCGCCAGCGTTCGAAGCCGATGCGAAAAGTCGGCCAGGAATTCCACGTGGGCGAGAGAAGCGCGAGGATGAAGACGATGGGCGACGTCGTCGCGGACCCCATCGACGAGAGCGATGGCACGGCGCAACCCATCGGCGCGGGCAAAGAGTTCGGCCAGAAGACACTCAAGTCCCTGAAGAGAGGACTAGGCCGGCTCTGGAAGAGGCACCGCGGCAACGTGTCGATAACCGAGTACGATCCCTCCTACAAGGTCGCGTATCTCGGCAACGTACTCACCGGCTGGGCCAAGGGTGAGTGAAAACTTTCGTCTTATCAATTTGCAATTGTCGCTGTGAGATTTTGCGAATGCTTTTTATTCGAATTTCGAAATTTTTCAATAAACTGACGGGAAAAAACTTTAAAAAATTCAACTTTTAGCAGATTGAAAAGGGTTTAGCCGAAAATTTTTCCGCATTTGTATCATTGTTCCGTGTTGATTTTTCACGCCCCGATAATAAATTTTATTTCTTCAAAGTTTAAATCACACTACACTTTCCGATTTTATGGCGCAGTAAAAGATTAGCTCAATTTCGCAACGATTATAGAGCCGCTATTTAAATTTATGTTAATGTTCTTTTGAAATATTTATGGATATTATATTTGTAAAAGAAAGAAACAAAAGTCTTTTGTCAACGCATAGCATGATTATTGAAAAGGTTACGAGCGGATAGTTAAAATATGCGGATATCAAAAATATTGAACTTGTTTGACGCATTACTTTAATACGTGTATTCAAATAAGCTATTAAGATGACGGAATTAATATACACATTTCAATTAATTTTGTCAAACCGCCAACAGCGGTGCGCACACGCGGTTATTCGAAGGCACAAGCTCACACGCACGTAAATATATCGTTATTCGAATAATTATATTGAAATTGAACCGATTATCATCTATTTCATAAATAACACATCCACGGATTAATACGGTAAAATGATTTTTTTCATTAATCATAACAAGATTGCGAAATTAATTGAACTATAAATTTCTCAAGTTTATTACACTGAAGTAATCGTATTAAACCGGATCGTAAAATTTATTGTGGAAGTTTATTTATTTGCAACATTTATGTAAATCGCGAGCCATATTAGTGCGTGCAAAAAATAACCATTGATATTTTATATCAGTAGCGGCGATCGCGCACGGCCGAGATATCGATCGGACGATAGAAAAATTGGAGATTTCATTCCGACGTATTCGTCATTGATAATTACGCGGCAGATAAGCGGCAATTAAGAACGATAGATATATGTCGCGTACGCGCGCACATTCTCAATCGCGCAGCCTTGGCGAGTGAATGATCAACCGGAAGTGCGCGGTACTTCTTGCGGCCGGTGCATCAGCAAGCAGCAAGGTCGTAATTTCTGTATTGGCCGTTTATCGCGCACGGGACTCACCCCTCTCAGCGTTAAATCGTCCCTCCGCGCGATTCTTCGCCGGGAGTTTTGTTTTCGCAATGATGCAAGTCAAACTTTGGTAACGTCGTCGATTCCAAAGGTCGGCAAACGGTCGATCGATCGATCTTTAACTCTTTGGCTGCAGCGGACTCTAATAAAAAAATATTTGATCGGTTGCTATGCGACTTGTAAACATGTCTAATACTATATTAGTTTAAAACAGTGAATGTGTTGTACTGAGCAAACTTTACTGGGCGTACATATACGCCTCTCGCAGTCAAAAGGTTAAACAGTTCGCAGTCGATCGCGACATCTTGAAGATAATTTTTTTTTTTTTTTCATTAAACATCTTTGAAGTGTTCCGGTACTTCAATCGATCTTGAAAGATTTTTTTTCGAAGCTCATATAACTTGAAAGTTTAACGACTTGGTTTATTCACCTCTGATATCAGAAAAGTAGGTGAAAATATTACTGATCCATTCGATAATTATTAGTTTTGTCTCTGAAGTATAAATGATATTCGATATGGAAATTATTTGAAAAATAAGATTTTGCGTTGCTTATTTTCGTCCGGTGCGTTTCGTTGATTGTCCTAAATAAATGCAAGTCAAAAGTATTTCAGCTGGAATTTCAAATCTAATTTTAAAACTTGAGAAGATATCGCAGGAACAAGTTTTACTACAGTAGACGTTTGCTAAACGAAAACCGGTTTTCATGTTTACCGAAAAATTTGCAGGTCGAAAAGTGCTATTTCCGAAAGCGCAACTTCCATGACGGCTAACGCACCTCGAGTTCTCTTCTGAGTCACTTTTGACCTCGTTGTGTGTAAAACGACGCTTCCGGATTGCTGTAGACGCGAATGAAAAAACGATTGATCATCGAAATACGATCGTGCGAAGTGCGATGCCGCAATAAACTCGCGAAAAGCGGCGCGGTAAAATTCTATTCTGACATCTAATGGCCATCATTCTGCGTTGTTAAAAAAAAAAAGAGAAGGTATCATGCGGTGCAACGACCGGACATAGGCGTATACACACGGCCCCCCGGACTTTCTCTCCTCCGCCTGGGTCGGTTTTCATCGTCGCCGGCAACATCATTATTGCGGCTTATTCGTTAATCGCCTATTCGGCGATTTAATTAACTCGCGATTGTCCTCGAGATAATTTCGTGCGTGTAATGTGCGCACTTGGATTGGCGACCGCGCATTACGGCCCATATATTCAGCGGCCGCGTTTAAATCATGTTACCGGAAGCTGGCCTCGGTTACATTTAGCATCAAGTCGGAAGAAATAAGATGGATACATCCTCTTAATTAACGAACCTATTAACCTAATTAACAAAGACATTGATACGTACACTCATAAAAGAAAGTGTTTAAATTTAAAACATTAAAGTGTTTTATTTCTTGTCTTCATTTTTGAAACGCTCAAAAGTGTTTAATTTTTAAACGGACATGCGAAACGTTAAAAAGTGTTTTATTCGGAAACATATAAAGGTGTTTTCGAATAAAAAAAAACTCTTCCAGTTGCTCTGGAATTACAATATTATTTATTGCAAATTTGCACTTCTGATTATAATAATTCCTTGCCGATTTCCGTGGCGCGCGCGAATCGCATTTTTTTTCTTAAAATAGAAGAGATGTGACAAACGCGAAGATGACGCGATCATCCTTATTGTTAGCGTCAAATTACTGGCGCGAACTGATTATAAATAGCCTCAACTTTTTATCACGACCGGTGTAATCGTTGTATTTGTACCTTTGATCAATGCGAGATAGTGCGCGAGAGGATAAAAGCGAAATCGACGGAAATTCCCGTCGAAAATCAGTCGGCCGTATCAGCGCGATGCATATCGAATGCGTATGTACACTTATCTCTTATAACACTTGTGATCAAGATCAAGAATAAGTTTTTCATTAATCTTCGATCGTCTCTGCTGTTATAAATAACAGCCTTGCATGTCTTATCAGATTATATAGCTAAATATGTTGCAACGAGTGAATCAGATTTGATAAAACACATTGGCTCACAATAACAACAACTGTTAAACAAAGACTCACAATAAATAGATAAAATATAGATTTTTTAACTGTATTAAAAAAAAAAATTGAAAGTATCTATCGTCATTTTTGCAATAAAATCGCGTATATCATTGTCGCTGTTAAAGTCTGCACAAATACATTTCGCACTTCTTTGACTTCGGTTCAAACTTGCACACGTCAAATCTGAATAAATTTTTATTCAAAAGTTATCGATAAAGATTTTAAAAAAGATCTGGGTTTAATTTGAAATTCAAAAGAGCGATAAGAAATACACGATTACTTTAAAGGTTAATATATAATAAAAAAAAGTCCACTTACTATTCCAGAATGCCGTTTCTCTTTCCTGAGTGATACACGCGCGTGTACATAGTTATGATTTAACTCCGGAGCATTAACGGTCCCGTTCGAGGTCGAGAAATAAAAGAAATGTGTTACAAAAAGACCTGTGTGTATTCGTCGCCGGTCCTTCATCGAATTCGCGCGACGGTTTCCAGTTTTACTATCCGAGCTTGTCCCCGTCGACCTTCGCGACGTCTTCTAGAAGAATAGGGTCGTAGCCCTTTTTGTCCTTCACGTCTCTTTAGTTTGCATAGAGCCGAGAAAAGGTGCAATTTAAGGCGGTAAAGAAAGCACACTAAAAGGCGACAATTACGCATTTCTTTTTAGCATTCGTTAAGAGAAATATCTGAATTTTTTATGACGCGTCTGTATGCAGAACTATAACCGTTATTATAGCCGTCAGGAATTTTTTGCGAATTTTTGGGACCGTCTCATTTATCACTAGATAACAAAAAAAAAAACAATAACAAAAAAACACTTGTAGACTTGCAGGCACAAAACTGGCTTGTCGATCTTCCTGCCATTATATTTATATTTTGTCAGATTATAAATAATATTCAGAATCAAAATAGAAAATTAGAACAGAGTTCTTGCAATTTGTATTCTTCTCTCTAATACTATTTTATTTAAATAGCAATCGATATAAATCATAACTTGAGATGTGTTCGAAGAAAAAAACGCGATAAAAATAAACATTAAATGATTTGTAATTCATATTTTTTTTTCAATTCTGACAAGTAGAGAAGAATGCTCACGATCAGGAAGTGAATAATCGAAAGGTAAATTGGAATCGGTAATTTTAAAAATTTACAAAGATCAAGGTCGCAAATGACTTAGCGCTGAAAATTATTGCTCACGGTGTTTATTTCTGATTTCCGTTAATACATCTCCGTCGAGTCGAATTTATCTCTCGGCGAGCAACGCGAATCGCCGATGTATTTGCAATCACGTGATTTACGCAAAGCTGTAAATTACACATTTAGTTTGCAGTTAATCACGACGCTGAAAAGTGATGGACAGTCTCTCGCAGTGTACCATCGCAAGTTATGCAATCCTACGTGTCTGATAAGCTGTAAATTACACCAGGAAAGCGCGAAGCCGGTATTGTTTTTCACTCACGATCGTGTTAAATTCTAGAAACTTCAAGACGTGTTTCACTTTTCAGTAATTATGCATTCCTCGCTTTTATTGTCCGCCGTTAGCTGGGAACGTTATGAAATTGTGGAGCGTCATCTAGAACGAAGTTGGTTGCGTTAGTTATTTCGACGAATGTTTTATGGAAATTTAAGCGTCCGGCTTGTTTTAAAGCTGCAAATAGATTCAAACTCTGAACTTTTATTTAAATGCTGAACGAAGTTTAATTTAAAGGCGCTTCAAAATTTTTAAATAATTATCAATAAATGATTCACGAACAGATATTTCCAAATATGAATATATATTCGAGCGTGCGTGAGTCTTGATTATCATCTAAACTTAACATTGAAATTTCAATTTATTAACACATTATGAATTGTTGAAAAAATGAACCGGTTTTAATTATAAATTCTCACGTAAGAGTACTTATTATTGGTATGTATTTTGCACTGTTTTATTATACTTATATACGTAATTATCTGAAGAATATGTATTTTATGCGAAGGCGTCAGTTCTTGTTTGTACGCGATAAGGAAGATGGCAAAAAATAATTGTTCGATCTTCCTGGAACTGGTGATAAAAAGAAACATTAATTCGCTATTAGTAACATAATTAACAGCAATATTATGAATGCAAAATACATGTTGTAAAGACGGGAACATAAATGCGGATAACATCTTGTGTGATTAATACATCTCGAGTGATAAAACACGTTGTGGTAAGAATGATATCGTTGCTCTTATTTATTTGAAAATGGAGTGAATATGTAGATAAAATTTTAGCTCGCGCTAGAAAAAATAGGGAAAAACTGGACTAGATGTAAGCGTTGTAAGCGCTTTTTAATCTAAAATGACTTTCAACGACAAGTTTCCGTTCCGTAAAATTGTAATCCACGTGAAAATAAAAAAAAATGTTCGCAGAAAGCTCGGGAGAAACGTCAACGATGAAAAGAAAGCTCGCGCGGTCTCGTAAGATGTTGCAAGCTTCGAGATTTTGCATGGGGAAAAATAATGCGAAGCTAGTTTGTCGGAAACGTTTTTTTCTTTCCATCTAAATTTACGCCCGAGGATACATTTTATTCCGCGGAAAATGCAAAAGCCAGGAAGTGCTCGTAAGAAGCTCGTGATAAATGTCGACGTTGGAAAAAAACATGAATGCGCGTGTGGTCACGTACGTCGTTAAAGTTATAAACTTCGAGGTTTTGCTATTAAATTGCTACGCTCTTAAAACCCTCGGCGACCTTCCTTGAACGTTACGTACTGCATAATTGCGAGGTTCGCACCTTAAGAGAATACGGCACATCCGTAAATATAATTTTAAAACTCCGCGGTGTATTTTCGCGTTATTACTGTGCACATATTATTACAGATATTGTTAACTAATTAATTTTTATGCGTATGGCAATTTCACGTTGCTGTGAAATGTATATTTGCGCGATTGTATTTTACTGAAAGTGTCTTTCCTCTGCTCGCCGCGGAATGCTGTTTATTGAAGATGATAAATTACCATTGTCATCTTTTATTATTACCGTCAACAGTAAGAAATCGATGCAAATATATTTATGTTTCCGTTCGTGAGAAACATCATTTTCGTTTTTTTTTCTACATGAATGAAAAAAGTTTGAAAATTTTAACCGATATTTTTAATATTTACATTTATAACCTTTTTTATACTACAAGATATTACATTACATTGTATCGCTAAAAAATGTTACAAATGGCACAAGGAAACTTTATTATTTATTGTACTTTATTATATAATATACTTGGATCAATATATCACTTGACGTTTTACATTCGCATCGTTACATTCAAAGTAGCCAAGTCACCCAAATGTCTATTATAATTCTTATCTGGTTTTAATTTTGAATAACTTTTAATGCTCACACTTGTGTCTTTAATTGATATATTTAGAACGCTTGGATGTGTCGTCAAACATTAATAAAACGAAAATAAGTGTAGGAAAAATATCAATACGCAAGTACGTACGATTGGCGCGGTAATTAAACGTAGCGGTGACATACGAAAGTTGTTGCTCGAGAATAATGTCAGTCTTCGTCTCGGATAATAATAATTTACTTGGACTCGCTTAAGGGGGGGCCCCGTTATTGCACCGTTTACCCTACATCCATATAACGTTATTCATCATCCGACTGCGCAATGCACGCGACATTTGGTCTCGTCATGCGATGCCAACGTTGTTTTCTCGTGGAAAGTTACGCGGCGTTCCGCGATACGCGCATTTTCTCGAAATCTGCCCGAAGAGTGCGTAAGCCGACGCCGGGCGAGTTGCAGTGGCGCGCGCGGGAGGGAAACATCGACGAGCGGCCGCGCGCGGCGTGTTGCCTTTAATTGGACAACATCGAACACTGACGGTATCGGTGTTAATAGCTTGACGGCGTGACGGCATGACGACCAGATCGCGCCACGGCCCTCTCTCGCCGTCGCTTCCTGTTCCGCGTCGTTCCAGATCGTCTATTTTTCCGTTCGCAATAATTCGATCGCAATATTCGCACGTTCGTCACAGGTCATAGGCGATCTGTGTCTCTGAATTAATTTTCGAAACAGTTTTTTTCATTCTTGGTCTTCCATCGTTAAGATTCGGTACGAAATTTCAAGATACAACTTTTGATAAATAGAAATATCCGCTTACTCTTCAATTAAAAAAATTTGGATAGACACTAGGTTTTTTTTTTCATCTTTTTATTATATTTAAATTTGAGCAGCGAATATTTTAATGAATACGAATTTAAACTAAAGTCCACGCGAAATTAAATTGCACGCCTCTTCGATCTTCATTCGCGAAGCGGGTTTTCATTCCCAAGAATTTGTTGCAGCTGAAAAGAATTTTACAATCAATTTTACGCCAATGAACGCTGCGTCGTTTCACCTGCGGCGAAAAGGATCGCTTTTATCGGATCTCCCCGCGCGCTTTCTCCGGACACGCTCGGAATAAAATGTTTCAGTGAATGTATATAAGGCTTCCTATACGCAAATCGGACATACCGGAACCGTTGTTAACCGTGGTTTATTTACATTCAATTTTATGCCTTTTTTCCGAATAGTCAGTCACAGTTCGATTGCGGAGCGAATCAGATTAATGAGATGTGCGTGCGCGCGTGTGTGTGTGTGTGTGTGTGCTTTCTCTGAATGTGAAACTAAACGATGAAAATAATAATACAGCATTTTCCGAAATGCATTCGGTAGAGAATCACGTAACGGTATTTAACGCTAGAATCCGCTTTACGTCTTCGCATTTACGTTTTCACGCGAGGATGAAAACGAAACTCGCGATTATCTTTAGCGAATCGCTTGAACGTTCGCGTGGGTGTTGCGAATTTTCGAGATCGAAACGATGAGCAGAAACGCCTCTGTGTCGTGTCTTGCTCGGAATAAGGCTGATGGATTCTAAGAGGTCGTGCTTGAACCTCAATTGATCACGTTGCTTCGAAGTTGGCGGCTTATTCGCTTAAATGTTATGAAAATACTGCTCTTAGTCATCAGCTTCTGATCAAAGTCTTCCCTGGAAAACCGCATGAGATTCAATAAACACGCACGTGTTCAGGTCTACGTCACTCCTTTATCTGTAGCCGTCGGTCTCGTGCGAAACGTTGACATAACTTGCGCGTTTATCAATCGTTGCACACACAGCACTCGTCATTTGCATTATTCCGTAAGCGCCGGATTACAAATGTGATTGCGATCGACAGGATTTTGAAAAAATTTGCGCAGTGCAATATATTTCTCTTTGCCTTCAATTTGTAGACGTCTTAGCAGGTTTAAGAATTTGTTTTTTCTAGCTGTCTTTTTCACTATATAATTATAGTCATAAGATGTTATGAATTATATATTGTACGCTCTTGAATTTTTTCTGCCTAAATACGTCAATGTTAATGCTCTTGTTTTGCGTCAGCGCTTTAATTTATGCAAAATTAACACGCAATGAATATTTAATTACTACATCGATGACGAAATGAAGAATCTCCGATAACTTTGTTCCGGAAGTTTTAAGTGAAATTTAAACAAAGATTTGTAGATCGAAAATCTTGCGATAACCATCTTATTTTCATCGTTGAAACTTCCGAGATTTCATCACTGCTATTGATCTCACCGGCCACATTCCTCGTCTCCTATCGATACTTTTCGTAAGCACTGTCATCGTGTTATCAAGCCGCTCTGCATATCAAAGTAGCCGGTGTGACGTTGAGGAATTACACGCATAACGCGCCATTTGCATAATGACCGAGTCTAAAGACATCGTATAAAATACAGGAGACTTTTTGTCGATCGGGAGATTATCAATCTTGATCGGCATACCGATTCGCTCGAATGACGCAATTGCAGATCAAATATGTAGATTTAACGCGGTGAAGAAGCTGACAAATTTTTACACTCGTTTACAGAAGAATTAATTCAAGTTCGTCGATGATGAATCAGCGAACTTTATTTATAATTTTAGCTCCGCGGCGTTCGCCGATCAAGTCTCCCACGAAGGGAGCGGAGAAAAGGCTGCGCCTAAAACAACGTTTATCTATTTAGATTAGATTATAATTTATCGCCGCTTCGTTGATTTTATAGCGCAAATTTTCGAGATCGCATCTACGTTTACGATCGATAAACGGCGGTTCAGATACGCGCTGCGCTACTTACTTTTTTTTGCGCAGACCACTTTCTTCGCGTTTTTTCGCGAATAATCGATCGCGAAAGAGGCGATAGCGCGCACCTACCCGTTCCGCGCATCGCTATTTCTTTTCTTTAGCTTTTCCACCTCCTCTCTCTCTCTCTCGCTCTCTCTCTCATTCTCTTTGTCCCTCTCGTGCCATTTCGCCTGCCGGCTCGGCTCGCTTTCGAGCTCCAAGTAACTGTACTCGCGTTTCCTGTATCTCTAAATTGGCAACGCGATCCACGGCGGCGCGTAGCGGCGAATCGAACTGTATCGAAAGTACCGGAGCGCGAGCTACCTCATCCGCGCGTATCCACCGGCCTGCGCGCCACAATCGCGACTCGAGTGTCGCAAGGCAACGCCGGTATGCGCATATATCATACATAGAAGGTTTGTCCTAAAGCGACACACTTTGCTGAACCGAGACTTTCGCGTGGCGAGAAACGACATTCCTCGGTCGTCTCATTATGTTTACGCGCTTAACGACATTAAGAAATACGGCGAGTACAAACATATTCGCTTCGAGAAACGGTTTTTCGCGCGGAGTCTTTAAAAACGTGACCGCCGAAGGATTCTGGGCGTGACGACCAAGTGCTTTTGTTTTTAACGGTTCCCCCCCTCCCGTTCTTTCCGCAGGCGAGGGCTGCGTGGAGAAGCCCGTGTCGACCCTGTGGCGGAACTACATGACCAGCAGCCGGCCGGACGTCTCGATGAGGCTGACCATAACCAATGGCGGTCTGACCGCGACCACAAAGGACCACGGCCTCACCGAGTACTGGGCACACCGTGTAACTTACTGCACGGCCCCGGCCTCCCATCCCCGGCTTTTCGTCTGGGTGTACCGACACGAGGGCCGCAGATTGAGACCGGAACTCAGGTGCCATGCCGCTCTCTGCAGCAAGGAATCCACCGCGAGGAGGCTCGCCTCGATCTTGAACGCCAGGCTGCAGCAGGCGCTCTTGGAATTTCGCCGGGACAAGGTCTCCCGGCAAAACGCCAGGTGAGAATGTCAATGCAATAATGTTACGTCTTTAGAAGCGGGAAAAAAAAAAAACAGAAGAAGCAGATCTTTAATCTTTGTAGTGCTGCAGAAGTTTTTTTTTTTAATAGTAGTAAAGATTTTGCTCTGAGAAACAATGTATTGGGTTGTTGGAACATTTTTTTTTTCTGTGAGAATAAAATTGAAAAAGTTAATAAATTTTTGAAGTAACTTGATGCATTTTTGTGCTTAATTGGCTTCAAAATATGATGCTGATATCGAGACGTCTCGCGGTTCTCTGAAGGAAATAAATAAAAATAGATCCCTCAAAAGATTCTAATGATAATAAAATGATAAAAATATAATTTTTATTGTCAGGCGGGAATGTCAATGCGACAATATTACGTGAAAAACAAGGACAAAAAACGAAAGAAAAAGCAAATCGTTAACCTTTAGAGCGCTAACCTAAAGAGCGCCGCAGAGGTTTTTTTTTTAACAATGAGACAATGAGTAACAATGTATTGGGTTGTTGGAAAATGTTTTAGTTTTTTCTATGAAAATAAAATTGAAAAAACTAATAAACTTTTAGAACAATTCAACGCATATTTGCGTAATTTGTTTTAACATATAATTTTCTGATTTCAAGACGTCTTATGATTCTTTAAAAAAAAATAAATAAAAATAGATCCCTCAAAAAATTCTAATGATAATAAAATGATAAAAATATAATTTTCATTGTCAAGCGGGAATGTCAATGTGACAATATTACGTGAAAAACAAGGACTTGAAAAACGAAAGAAAAAGCAAATCGTTAACCTTTAGAGCGCTTGCCTAGAGAGCGCTGCAGAGATTTTTTTTTTAAATCGTGATGCGATTTGTTCTGAGAAACAATGTATTAGATTGTTGGAAAATGTTCTAGTTTTTTCTATGAAAATAAAATTGAAAACACTAATAAACTTTTAGAACAATTCAACGTATATTTGCGTTTTAAAATATAATACTGATTTCAAGACGTCTTATGGTTCTTTGAAAGAAATAAATAAAAATAGATCCTACTCAAAAAATTCTAATGACATTAAAATGACAAAAATATACTTTTTAATCTCGGCTAGATTGTAGACTTAGATTGTAAATTACGAAGAGTAACGTTATTTTAATAGTGAAATAATAATTACAGAATTCTTAGATATGTGAGTCGCTCAGAAACCAAACCCAGACAGCATAATGACCTCATATAATGCTTCTAAAGAGTTTAAAAAATTTTTTTGAGTTGATACACTCAGATCAGAAGGTGGTTAGAACGTGCTCGGATGCGTTGACTTCTGAGTTCATTTTGATTCCATCATAAAGAGCTCTTTATGTACATAACAAATATATCTCAAAAAATTACCTGCGAAAAATTGCGTCAGAGATCGTTGTACCAGGAACAATTTCACACACTGCGTGTCTTTTTATGCACTACGAACTGCGAGACTTGGAAAGTATTTTGTGGGTAAATATAAATAACAAAGAGAATAATCGACGAACATATATGGATGACGAGAACTCAGTCGGGTCAGGTTGGGTGATGCGTGTTTTTTGTTTTCACGCATCATATTATATGATGTCAAAATGAGCTGATTATGAAAAACTATTTTTGTGTTAGAAATATAAGTTCATGGTGAGCTCTTTTATTTACGGTTAAAGAACTCAGAAAAGAGCACTTGTAGACAATTTTTTGAAATTATTTTGGCAGATCATAAAGAATTCAAGAAAGAGAATTCTTTTTGAACTCTTTTTGGAAATCCTGCTGTCTAGGAAGTGTTTAATTCCATTTTTGCATTTTTTTCAATTTTAGTATCTTATTGTGCTTAACTTCTCATAAATAAAATAAATTATCTTGCTAATAAAATAAAGTACTTATTTATCATCTCAAGATAGGCAAATTTTTATTGCTAATGAATAATACATAACCTACTTCAAAAGCCATTATGATTAACTTCATTGATATTAATGAAATTGAAATTAATGAAAATAAAATTAAAATTAAATTAATTTTTTTATTTCCAATAAATTTGATAATTTTTAAAATATCAAAGAATAATAATTTTGATATGCAAAATGATAAATCAGATAGTGATTCTTCAATAATAATAAATAATGTTATAATAATGCAATAAGTAATGTTACAATTGGTTTCTTCTTATAATAAATAATGTTATGATGATTTTTAATGGTTAAATTCAATGGTATTCATTTTTTCTGTAATTTCCAGATTTTTAGTTTATGCAAAATTTGTAAATACATAAACAATTATTCTCGATATATATATTTTTATTTATTTTATGTATTTTCTGCATTGTAACATAAAAGCTGCATGTTTAATAATACATTCTGCAATATTTATTTATGTACATATTTCAAACAAAATTTAAAAAAACAGTATTTATAAGTTTATCAATTTTCTCTACTTTTTGTTTAATGACGTTAATCAGTTTGGCTTCCGAGCGACTCATGTGATGAATTGAGAGTATACGCACTACATTCAAGTTTTGCGTCTTTTCTCGGAGATAAATGGCGGCAGTAAATGGAGACAGTAGAAAACGTGATAAAATTTACGGATCGTGATATTAGCGATAATTATCGGGTATTATCTAACGTTTACAAGCAATTAGTGGGAATTAGCAAGTGCTACGATCGGATTAGTAACATATTGTCGAGTGTTTGCCGAGAATAAAGTTGCATTAGAGGAAAATTAAATAGAACATTACAAAGTTCGTTTGCACCGTGCGTCTATTTCTGCGATATGCCGGCAAAAAAAGGCTTTTCAGCTTTTGTGTATCTGCGCGATTTTATGTGCCGATTAATTATTCGATACATTGTCGATTAATTATTTGAGGACCGTGTAGACGCGCATCTTTGCTTTACTATTAGCGCTCATTAGGAAACTGAACAAACCGCAATTTATTGCGCGGCACAATTTCTCAGACACAGAATTTTCCGTGTTTCCGTTAGGCTCGCTTTAATGTCGGGCAACGGTGCTCGCCATTGCGAATTCCTCGCATTTTTGTTGCGCCTCATTCGTTATATCGTCGTTATCATTGGCATGCGAGCGCTGTTCTCCGATTAATCGGGAGAAAAGAGAAACTCCCTCTTATTCGCTCGCGGAGAAGGCGCGCGCGCGGTTACGCATGCCCCTGCACGAAGTCACGATTCCGGTCACGATTGTAGATCGTTATACGCGCACAGCCGAGTCACGATTCAGGACAAGAAGCGATCACCGGTCGATCTGCATTCGGGTCAGTGTTTTCAAGTCACAGGTCAACTATACTTCGGTATGCTTGCCGGAATTGCGCTAATACGGTTCGCTACTTCTTACACCGCGCGTCGTCAGAATTAAATTGGAACATTTGGAGCATTTGGAAAGCAAGCAAAAAATTTCGACGAGTTAAATAAACGATGCAATAATTTTTACAAGTTGAAACTTGGATCTTTGGCAAAATAATCGCGGAGATACACAAAGAAAAAGAATTCTTTTTTTACCCTATCAAATTTTTGTTAAAAAGAGGAAATCGTTACGAAATGTCAGACTAAAAAAACATGATGTTTATGTGTGTGTGTGTGTGTGATACAGGCTGTCCCTGGCGAACGCGCTGTACGACAATCCGTCGTTGCCGCGCAGAAAGCTGCTCCTAAGCACCGGCGGTCAGAATTATCGACCACCCTTGGAGAGGTCGAAGAGCGCGCCGAAGCTGTCGGCGATCGAGGAGGACATAGTAGCCGAGGAAATAGAACAGCAAAGGCTGTTGGAGGAATTGCGTTCGCTGGAGAGCGTAGCGCGCAGTTGGGAGGATCAAGATGGCTGGAGGATAGCCAGACTTTTGGATGCTCTCAACCGCGAATCCTCCGATGAGAATGGCAGCATTTCCAGCGGATGCGAAACCGCCAGTACAGCGACGAGCGAAGAGAGAGCCGTCTGTCCAGATGAGCATCTTGCACAGAGTGAGTGTTTCACAAACCTTACGATCAAAATTGTACATGTTGGAATTTAAAAAGAGATTTTTTCAAATTTCTCGTTTTTTATGGTGGCCAAAAACTGTAAATATTTTTTAAACGCTTCTCAATTTTCTAATCGCGCAAAGATAAAAATGGCGGATTCAAGATAATATTTCGTATTATATATCTTACGCATAATTAAATTATTTATAAACTGCTAGTTATAGAATTTGAAGTTACGAATTGAACGAGCATTAGTTATCGTTGTATAAACGTATGATTAATTTTTATTTTAATCTACATGCTATTTAATTATATCTGTTTTTTGTATTGAGCATATTGCGATATCTTTGCGTGTCGAAAGGGCAGTTGCTCGACGAGTCGAAACCAGTCGACGGCATGACATACAAAGTCATAATGTTATTTTTCTTTTGAAACTTGCTTACCTTTAAAATTCTTTTTCCAGATCAAAATGATCAACGAGGATCAATCAAGAGAGTTATCTTCTCGGATGAAAGAGCCGGCAGAGGGCTGGGACCGCGTAGAAACTCGGAGGGCTCGCCACACTTCATGACCTGCGCCGGTAGTCCTCGTTTCAGTTCTATAAATCCCATGAAGAGGTTTCCCTTGAGAAGCGAGGAGGAGGAATCGATGGAAGAGGAGGAGGAAGAGATGGAGGACGCTACCTCGAACGTGTTCGACTTCGAAGACGTCGAGGATCTCGACGACGTAGTGATTATCGGCCGAGGGGCGAAATGCTGAATAGAATCGAAGACTCGCAAAACAGGGAGAGGCGAGCGAATGAAAGTATCCCGGCAAGATAAGCCGTGAGTTTCTGCAAAACGAGGAGACGTCGTTCCTAACTCTGGATTCTCTCGACGAAGAGGCTGATAGCGACGAGAGCGGTTACGTTGAAGCGCCACCAAAGTCTTTGTTAAGTCCGGAAGACAGGAAGGAGGAGGAAGAAAACGAGCACCCGCGATCGTTCGGGGATCAATCGGAATCGGTGACGACGTGTAGAAATGTAAAGACCGACGAGAATGAGAATGAAAGGACGAAACACGAAGATTCGAAAAGCAAGCAGGAGGAGGTGGAGTCGATAAAAACGGAAAAGAAGGATTCTTTATTGGTGGTTGACGATAATCAAAGAATTAAAGAGAGGGAAAGGGAGCGAACGGATTTCAAATATCCTATTTCGGAAACCATCAGAAAACTGACGAACGCGTCACTTAGGAATTCCAAGTCTCTCGAGATGAAGAACAACAGTTGCTTGAACGTATTACATAATTTCAAGACCTCCAAGTCGTTTGATAGTGCGAAACACGACGAAATTACTATAGAATCGCCGAGTCTTCACCAAAGGAAGCAATTATTGGCACAGCGCGGTGTCATGGTTTAAATGGCCTCTTTCGAATTGCAAACTTTTTACGATTTTGTTTTGCAAATCGCATGGGGATCAATATGAACGAACATGATTCGTCATTTAAGTTTTCCATGAACAATCAAAGACACTTATAATTACACTTTACGAAAATACTGAGTTTACCGACACCTTGACGAGAGTGCGTATTAATATCTAAAGTAAAATGTGTTTGATTGTTCTTGAAAAATTTACCAAATTGTATTCGATTATTTCACTTATTGGACAAAAATGGTTCTTCTTTTTATTACAAATTACTATTATAATAGTATTTCGTCATGGAGTCATTTTCCTTACTACTCGTAGTACTCGTAGCAAATAAAGATTAATATTATTAATTCGGTGACGGATGCACTGATCTGTCAAATTTACGTTAAGTACTGTCAAATACTATTTGATTACTATTTGAATAATCGAAGCGATGATCAAAATATGGTGTAAAATGATCTACTGGGCTTTGAGAGAGAACTAGCTTGAATTTTCTAGTGCGAGTTAAAGAAATCATCAGCGGATTACAAAGCAGTGCCGGAATTAGAGCCAAGCGCAATGTTCTAATGGGTGTGGTGGTCTCTCTAGTCGGTTTCTCATGCCTGAGAATCGTGACCTCACAGGAATTATGTTGGACTAAAGTCAAAACTGCTACGTAATACATGAAGATCGATTTTATTCAATAACGATATGAGGGAATGGTTTATATTTATTTATTTTTTTTTTATTGTTTTACAGCGTGGAATTGTCTAGTTCCGGTACTGACATTAATTATATAGATTGACAAGGAAACTATGCTCACACTATGTACAAGGCGAATATGAAAATATTGGGATTACTAAATTTTTTTTATATTTATGCTCGTTGCATGTTGCAGTTGTGGTTAAAAAAATAATAATATTTTATTAGATAAGTTTGTTGCAATGCATGCAATTCGTATAATTGAAAGGAAACTACCTTGTGTGTAAAATTCCGGAAATAGTTGTCTTGTTATAGTGCAATGAGCTCGATAATTTAATAACATGATTTGTTCTTGTAAAATTTGATGCTTCTATAAATAAAGTTCAAACGTGAAATATCTTTTAAGATTAGTTGCAAAGAGAGCGCCCACTGAATCCTTTAAATTGTCATCAACACAATTTAATCTTGTCGATTAAATCCTCGAAAATCTTTAGTTTGTACAGTTGAGAATGTTGTAAAATTAAAGCACAATTGAAAACAATACAGTTAATGAAGACTACTGTATTTATAAATATGCATTTTGCAAAATAAAAATCAAATCATTTATTGAAACGAAAAAAAAATAGTTATTGTGTTTTCAATACAAAATGCTCTAAAATCGATGATTATAAAATGTGAAATTTATTCAATGTTGATATTAAAGATATGCAAGAATGATCTATTTGTTTGAACATTGGTCCAAAAGTAAGTTTGTTGACATAATATTAAGTTTATTTAAATGCGTTGAGTACATTGATCATTCGTGCAAACTCTGTAACAGAAAGTGGTGATTTGTTAGATTGCAAACACACGCATGTTTTTATTGATTAATTGATTATCGCGAAAAACATTAATATACAACTAAATTTGCATGACAAAGAATAATATGTACATGTATTATTTTGTCGGCTTATTCGTTATTAAAACAAAAACTGAACGTTCCATTGTAAATCGAAGATGACAAACATACATTATTGGTGATAACGAGCGTTTATTCGCATATAATATAGCACGTATTATCGGTAAAGTATTGAAACGAGTTCTAAATTGAACGTGTCCGCAGGATTTCGCCTTCAACGCAAAATCCGAGATACACTTCGCGCTAGATGCGGGCGGAATATCTATTATGGCAATCGTTGCACGAGAGAGAAAGAAAAATAGAGAAATAATATGAATAAAATAAAGAAAGAAACAAAAGAATTTCGAATGATCAAGAACGTGATTCTAAAACCATTGTTCCTGACCTATGAACTTTGGAGCTGCTTCTCGCGTACGAAGTTATGTCCAAAGTATCGTGACCGAGACGAGCCGATCGATAATTACAGATAATTGCGGACACAGCAGAGAACGCAAATCGTGATGTTTTTAAAGCATCCTTAAAGGCAACAGTGAATCCAGGTCGGACGAGCAAACAGAAACGTATGGTTGACGGCCCTGATCGATTTTTCTCCAGCAGCTGTTGCCTATATTATTATTGAGCAAAGAAAAAGATCTTAATATAATACTTTTTATTTGATTTGTTTTGAAATTTTATAGCGCCTGGAAGAAAATGTTTATACGCTGTATCTTTCAAGGTAAGGAAAATAAAATATGGAATTCTATGTGCAAATATATATTAAAGAATGATTTATATGTATAATTAAATATTAATTAAAATGAGTGGTATAATTGCTGATCGTTAATGAAACTTTTTACATTATATAGGAAGTAATCAAGTTTTATGGAGGTTTTAAGGTAAATAGTTGCTCAATATAATCTTCCTTCTTTATTTTTGTTATATATATATATATTATTCTTTTCCTATTTTTATAAAAATACCATGGTAATTCTGTAAGTTTGTGATGTGAACATTTTATACGATGCTTTTTATATGTAGCAGATGTTGTACGGATTGATCACGTAAGATGGCGTTACTTACTATGTTCAGTATACAAACGAGGCAAATAATTAAAAAACGATTGGAAAAGGTAAAGATCAAATTAGGTCACTGACGCCGCCATGAATCGTGTTTGTGAATTGCACGCATTAATAAGCCAGGATTTATATATATTTTTAAATTTAATTTTATTATATTTATATTATAATGTTATTATATTTATTCCTTTATAATTTTATTTAATACACAGAATACAAGAATTGTAAATGTGATGTTTTAATTAAATAATCATTGATATATATAACTGTATAATTATATAAAATTAAATATTTAATGATTATTTAATATAACGTCACAATTTTCTTACAATTTAATAATCAATAGGATCTTTCTTTTACATTTTAGCCGATTTTATTGCGAGTATACGATGGCATCGCCATTAAAAGATAGGATTTAATTTCTTATACAACGATAACATTAAAAAGTGGATGCTTTTCAGTAAAAAGATGACAAAAACTTTGTATTATATACGTGCTTGTTATTTAGTTCATTATTTTCATTCGCGCGATTATACATATTATTCTACATATCGCCACATCTTTACAAATGATATAAATCGCATCAAGTCACATTTATGCTTAAAAAAATGAGTTTAATACGCTTTGGAGATGAGCTCTTCCATTAAACGTGAGAAAGTGGTAATTACATTCAAAAGAAAAATATCTCCATTTATCTGCGGTTTTAAGCGGCGGCGGTAACCGCGTGCTCGTAAAAAATCCCGCGATCACCGGGTCGAAATATGAAAATGCGGACTGCTAACAATCCGCGGCGTTCCCGGCGGCGTCTGCCGCGAGGCGGGTCTTGCGCGGAGCCAAGATCAAGATCAAGGTGCCACGCCGCCGCGAGCCTCGGACTCACGACCAGCCTCCACCGTGAATACGATAACACAGAACGCGCGCGCGTTGGTACGCGCTGCCACGATATCCTCGCTCGCCGATACCATCGCGCATACGTCGGTGTGACCTACTAACAATAAGCGCCGAGATGCGGTACGCACACACACACACACATACACGCACGCACACGTACAATTCGCGTGTACAAACACACCGAGAAGAAAGAGCCAGGACCGCGGCTTCCTCATCTCGTTCGTTAAGCTTTGCGCACCAGTAGGACCACTTCATCAAGATGAACCATAAAAACGTGTCTTCGCAAAGATTGCTTGCGCGCCTTAATGCTGCTACGAAGTTACGTGATAACCTGAATCGTATACCTACTTAAGTTGTATAAAAAAATGAATAAATAATTTAGGAAATTTTACAATGTAACTTGATAATGATTATTCGATGCTTAATTTCTGAATATATTGCAGCTTCATAAAGAGATGATTATGTTTTAAAGAAGAGAGAGAGAGAGAGATTCAAGAAATAAATAGATACTATAATATCTGCCATCTTCTCTTTTTTATCTTTAATAATTATTATATATAATAAGTGGAAAATGCAATTTTTTTCATGTAAAAAAAGTATGGATAGAATCTTTCTCTTCAATTATGTTAGTATAAATTCGCAATACGTTTTAAGGGACATAAAAGAAGAGTAACAGTTTTGTCAAAATTCTTCGCATTTTAATGGTGACTTTTAATGGATTTAAGAGCAGCTGGCGCGGTTCTCGATTTAATTGCGTCGGTTTAAAAGTGACACACTAGCTACGAACGGAGGTATCTCGAATCTCTTATCTCCTTCGGATACCACCACGATTCTTGCAAGTAGTACGAATTTGGGGCCATCTCGCGCGGGGGTCCGGCGCCGACCTGGTGGGGGGTACACGTGGGCCTCCATAGAGCGCACCTCGCTGGGGCCCCGCCGCCCGTACGTGTGCGCAGCCTGTGAGTGGTGTTAACGGCCTTGCTTTATGTGGGTCATGAAACAAGGTCCCACCAGCACGGGGAGCCCTGGAGAACACAGCACGCTTAACTTATGTTTGTAAAGACAAGTCGATACATACACACACACACGCACACATACACGCATATGCGACTCCACACATGACACACGCTATACACGCACACGCGCGCATGCACAAATGAGTCCTTCTCCGGCGGCAACTTGCGCTGGTACGCTGACATCGGACAGTGCTTTCTACCGAGCTGTCGGCGATGTGGTGCACCTCAGCTCGGTACATCGAAGCCCGATACGGAAATCGATTGTATCTGTACAGATCCAAGGTAGGGATGGAAGAAGATAGAGGAATATATATGTATACGGAAATTCTCTCCGCGCGGAATTCCGCCGTTTTACGCTATTTCTCGCTGGCGATGTTCGACGAACAGGGATCTTAAACGTTATATAATGCGATTTTACATGCTGCTTATATTTTTATTTTCTATTTCAGCAATGTAACATTACCTTGTGAATATTGATTTATTACTGTTTTATTTAAAATAAAGATTTAAGTAGGATGGGAAAAAATTGAAAAAGCTGCGATGCCTCGTAGCGGAATGTTATTCAGAAAGCAAACTTTTACAATATCTATTGTTAATAGCGTTTGCATTTTTTACTCAAGTTTTTATTTATTCAATTGCACACTTGTAATTTATATATTAATGTAATCAACAATTCATGCTTATGATTTGTAAAAAGTGCAAACGTAGAGGCAAATTCATTCTTATTTGCTTGTTAAATTCATGATAAATCGAATTTAACATAACGCGTTATAGCCACTTGAATAATTTTATGTTTACAAAAAATACTTTGGGTGTCAATTTATTATTAGCGATGTAAATATGCATAATTAAAAATACGTACGCGTACAAATTGTAGTCTTCGAAGACATTAATATGCTTGTCAACCAAGCATGAACCGCGTCTCTCTACGAAAACACTGCATTTTCCACAATTTCCGCACGCAATATTGGAAAATGCTTAATTCCTGGTGCGACGTGCCACTCGTCGCGACGATCATTAATAATGATGAATTTCCTTGCATTTGTCTTCAGGGTCTCGGCGCTGCCGGAGGAGACTCGAACGCGGCTAATGGGCCGAGCTCGCGATTCGCGACTCGCTTAACGATCAAGTTCGATTTCTCTTGGCATCGCCGTGACCGCGACCACGCACGAGTGAAATCTCATGGGATTTTGTCAAAAATTATTTCCGTTTTAGAAATGACAGGCGAAAATCCCGTGCGGACACCCTGAATCAATTATCATAGCTAAACGGAGATAAAACATGAATGCTGCTGGACGGCTTTCTATTAATTGCTAAACGCAAAATTCAGTTTTTAGCATCAAAGATGCGTTTATTCGCGTCGATACTTGAAAAATGGATTTATTGATACGCACGATCAAAACTAATTTTGATCTAATGAAACTCCGTTGGAAAAGAAGAAAGACGATAAATACCCGAGTGGTGTAATTTACATTCGCACGGCGTATCTTTCGTAATCGCATTTTCTACACGAGTAATAACGAATTGAACCTTTCTTTACGCTCGTGCGTGGAATTGCGTGCTATCATGCGCCACGCCATAAATCATTGTGAATTGCGATAAACTCTCATAAATCATGAAATCGTCATATTGTGCGGAAGCAATCGTGAGCGCAGCAACACCATCTCTCGGTCTCGTCGCGCCGAGCATGCTAATCATTTGTTTTTCGCGCGCTTCTACTACGATAAAAAGATAAACAAAGTAATATACGATTAGCGCGCAATCAAAGACATTTCGAAGCTTACAGAACATTATTCGCATAATTCATGGAGAAAATGAAGAAATTTTGCATCATTTTGCGTCACGTTTGGAGGAAAATATTCATCACGCGTTTTGGAATTCTTTTTCGCAATTCTTGAATCTTAACATTTCTAATTTTTTCCACCAGACATATATTTATCAAATATTGCCTGAAAATAGACGACGAATCAAATATCTCAGACGGTCGTGTGCTTGAAAAATTTGCATAAATGTTAACAATAAGTTTGCAATATGACATCAATGCAAATTTTTGAATCGCAAATTTTACGTGTTTGTTAACGATTTGTCAATGGCTTACTTTATCAATACACATAGTGGCTCATAAGAAATGCTACAGGGAGCGTACAATGGCAATTAGGAATTCCTATTTAAATGGAGCATCAGATAAAGACAAGAACAGCTAGATATAGCAGTTCCACGTGCGACGAATTCTTAACTGTACTTCTCTTTCTCGTTTACGTACTACTCTTCTTCTCTCTTTATTTTCTTCTCCTCCTCCTCTCTCTCTCTCTCTTTCTCTCGCTCGCTCGCCATTGTAAAGACCTCCTGCGACCGAGAATATTGTCAGAAAAAGTCTCAGTGGCCATTCACCAATCGAGCGTGTCATTTATTTCGGGATGATTAAATGCGATATGCCGTCATCAACGGTAAATTGACCATAATATCCGATGTAACAAACGTGTATTAAATTACTGTACGATTAATAATCCATAATTATTAATAGCCGGCAGGAATAATACGATTCTTAACTGTTTCTCAAGATGTACGACAACACGTTTTTTCTCTCTTTGTGCCAATTTAGCACGTGCTACAGTTACACGATCATAAATTAGTATCGCGATCGCAGCGGAGTGAATTTTTCCCGGAAAAATATTTCGAAGCGCTTCGGTGGAACAAAATTATTCCTCCAACGTTCACGTAAATCGAGCACGATAAAGAGCAGAATATTAACAGACACGGAAATAGATTTTTTTTTTCTACAAATTTCTCAGCGACTTACCATCTCGCGCCATCCAGATTTTTTCACCGCGCAAAACTACTTACTTTCATCGATTCTCGTCGTGTCCTTTATCTTCTCGTCTCCTCGGCGTCCTAGAAAAGTCGACAATCGGGATTAGCAAGATCGTTAATTGGGGCGCGTTAAAGAGGACGCGCCGGCGTCCATTCGCTCCTTGGATGTTGTTACGTCGACGGGTACGTCGCGTATATCTTTTGACACAATCTCCGCGTTGCGTCGTGAGGACCGAGGAGCGAGCGATATGCCGGGACGACGACGATGGGAACTTTACCACGGGAATGGAGGAATCCCATTACCCACGTCGGAGACGTGTATGATGCGAGAGTCGTGCGCGTGTATACGTGCTCGCTGCTCACCTGCCAACCGCGGGCGTCCATTGAGAAGGAGCGCGAGATGTAACTGTGTGAACTATACCACTCACATGATCCGAATCGCCTTTAATTATTCGTCCATTTGCGAAATTCTCTCTCCCTCCCCCCCTCCTGCCCGCCGTCTCGTATCCATCTGCGTACGCAATGCGCGGCAACACATAGTGGTGCGTATACATTCGATGGTAATGAGAGATGAGCGAAAGGGGAAGAGACACGATCGCGCAGTCTGTCAAATTGAAAACATGCTTTTACAAGACGTAGTTTTACGACGCGCATGATTAATCTTGCATCTAATCTCGTAATTATCTATATTTGTTTGTTCTCCATACATAATTTTATTATTAAGTTTAGAAATATTTGTTGAAATATATTTTAGAGACGCGCGGTGAAATTGGATCATTTGTAATCTACGATGCGCACTTTTCTTCGATCGTAAAGGTTTTTTTTTTTTTTACGTAGAATTTAGTCGGATCAAAATGTTAGAATGTTGTTATCCTGCACATGTCGACATTATCTTTCACGTTCGGCTTTGTAATTTTCACGTATACATGGATACGATTTTATGTCGCGGGACTTTCCTTAAACTCTCGAAAGCGTGTCGAACTTGAAACGAGCGATTCGACGTCATTTCGATTTCTCAACAGGAATCCGAAAATTCCTGTTGTTTCATTCGCGACGCGACATGGTACTTTGTCGAATTAGCACTTTGGAAAAATTGTCGACTGATGATTTACACGCGGACGAACGATGCCGCGATTGCGATTTTCTGCAACAAACTTGCGGCGGATGCAGCCAAATTTACACACATAATCGCAAGTATGTCGATTTTCATCTTGTCCTAGTTTGAGCGTAATCGCCAAGATGCGCACGTGTAACACATAAAACGGTATGGAATTAATAGAATCGCATAACTCTTAACACGATTCTTAATATATTTCGAAAAAGTAGATTGTTGTATTATTCAAGAGCTACCAAGATCAATTGAAATATAAACTTCTTTATTTATGATACGAATTGAAAAATAGATAATAGTACAAGTAATATAAGAATATTGAAAATTGAAGACTTGTAAAAAATAGAATTAAGTAATTTGTAAATTTTTTCTATGCATATAATGTTCTAGCAAAACAAATTATGTTTTAATTATTATCCATTTATTTATAATACGTATTTAATTGTATGCCTGTTGTATTGAGATCAAACGGAATTGTCCTAGATTGTGCGGAAGCATTTGCTTATTTATTTCGAACTGATATCATAATGAGATGCAAAGTGAAAAAAATACATTCCATTGCTCGTTTTCCACTTTATAAAAAAAATAGTACCTAATTATAAAAATACTTAAGCGATTGATCTGTAAAATAAATTATTTGTTATATGTTTAATTCTAAATTACTACCATTGGTATTTTTTACGACGCCTCGAAATATTTGATCTCGAATGAAGACTAAAAAAGAATAAAGTTTTATATAAAAACTATCTCATAACATTTATAATATAATTTTAAATATTAAGATTAAATTCTTTTATAAATTTACAACAAGTTTCAAACCATTATTTTATATATAGTCGTAGAAATTACGACACAGTACATTAGAAAATCACAGTAATAATCCGAGGTTAAAAAGCTTTGAAGTTTCATTGAAAAGAAACTCTGACCTAGGCACACCATTAGCACATTCTTATAGAAACAATAGGAGAAATATTACAGAGAAAAAAGTCAAAACAAATTTTATGTACCACAAATAGAATGACATGTTTGAGGTTTTTTTTTACGTAAACAACATTTATTTCTTTGGACGTGAAAAGAATTTCGTTTCTAGATCTTTTTTTGTCACAGAAATGGTCATCTCAAACACATGACATTCAATTTCTTTCAACCATTCTATCATTTTCTCTATTTTCTTCAACCATTATACTCTTTTGTGCTCTCTTGAAAAGTTTTCTAAATTCTTGAAATAGTGTTTTGTTATCATCAGTTTGATCTAATGAAATTCAGGTTCAAATCGAAAGATGCGCATCCATCAACGTCCGCAGCGGCGTTGCTATCGCACGAATTTCGTGCCGGGGCAGGCCGGTGCGCACAATATACGGGGTATATACAGCTAAACGACGCGCACGATCGGAACCGTAGGATAGACCCACTCTTCAGGATCCTGAAGCGAGGCGAGTTGCAAAGTGTGCCGTGTAAGTGGAACATCGCTGCCTGGTACCGACGACGAAGTATACCAAAGTAGTATAACATGGTCCTCCTCCTTCGTCATTCCTCTTTGCCCTTCTCCCTCCTCGTCATTCTTTACCCACTATCCCTCCTCCCCCCTCCACCATCGCGGCCGGTAACGACACTCCGACACTCCTCCTTCGCGTATATACGCGGTGAAAGACTTTCTTTAAGGAGGTTCCACAGTAAGAGCTACACGCCGTCTGCTGCCTACCGCACTGTACACATTCGCCGCGAAGAGAGAATTGTCCATTGTCTCCTTTGACGACCGTAATTGATGCCGGTCCTCCACGTCGCATCCGGTTGTGTCCTCCCGATATACGCCGATCGCCGATATAAAACGCTCGGCAGATGCGATAGACACACGTGCGACAGACACACGTTGATTCGGCCACGCACATACGCTCCTTTTCATCCGAAAAATCATGCTCGCCGTTCGCGGACACGTTGATACCTTTCGCGCTCTCGAGGACTCGAGAAAAGTATTACGGGCATAACGGGCTCACAGGAGTTTTGTGTATATTGAAGAAAAAAAAAAGGATGTGACGGAAATCTTTTGTGCCCAATAATCTTGTAGCGTTATTTTTCTTGCGAATTGTTTCATTTATCACGAGAATACGTGGAGCAATTTGTATAACTATTTTAATTTATCTAACTTCCAATAACTGAAAAAAATACTTATTGTCAAGATCTAATTATTTATTTCATTTGAATATTTTATTATAATATGACATATAGGAGATGTCACCTTTCTTTTTACTTTGACATTTGTCAAATAGCTTGAAGTTGTGCGCAGATTATAGAGATCTTGCTGGCAAGAAGTCATTTTTCATATCCGTGATTAATGCATGGCTCGAACAAAAATCGCAGATCACTTCATTCTTTGACGATTTCTGCAAATGGACTCGGATATCATGTATATGTATATTTGAAGAAGTGTTCCACTAATTGTTTTCAACAGTGCCATTAAGTTTCTTCACACGTTTCACATACACCTATCAGGTATCTAGGGTACTAAACTAACAGATGGCCGCTAGCGTATAACATAAGTCGCGCGAATAAATTACACAATCATCATAACTAATAGACGGCGCTAATTGAACGCATTCAACGTGGCGCGCGTAATGACATTCGGTATAAGCGCGATGTTGGGCCCGTCGAATCCGCCAAGTTCGACGGAATCTCAGGATCATCGACAAATGTAGCAATATCGTCACACCGCGAATAAATCGATTATTTTTCGCAGCGGATCTTTTACACGGTCGTATCGTGGGAAGGAGAAGATGCGATATGGGGATATGGACGATGTAGATGGAAGCCCTGGTAGGCCCGAAAAATTTAGGTCACTGGTTCGACTGCGTATACGTGGACCGTCATGGGAACCGCGGCACCGCAGAGATCCCTCTGCTCTCCTCTTCGCGATGATTTAGCCTCTAACCATTTGAGTTCAGCTACGTCAGTCCGTCATCTTGTTCCTATTCCATCTTCGCTACCTTCTTTTTCACTTTTAATCCTAGTCGCTAAATAATAACGCGTAAAATATCTCATTAAAGCCGCGCGTTCTTTGGATCTAACCTCACTTTTTAGCAATTTATATTTCAATTTTACGATGATTATTTTCTTCATCTCTTTGTAATAATTTGCCTCGTACATTTGTTTTTTTAAGGTTATTACAGCCGTGTAATTATGCTCCACATTTTTCTTTTAGTTATTTGCTTTACAACTTTTTTAGTATTATGCGCTATAATTATTTGCTTCTAACATTGATACTCTCATGCCGTATACATATGTTTGTTGCGTGGATTAATCAACAGTACAGTTAGACGCATGGTGGCCATGCCTCTGTTTACGATTCGCGTGCGCGATTACAAGAGCTTTTCGCGTCTCTCATTGTCAGGCAGAGATAAAAGATCCATCTCTTTTCTCTCTCTCTATGTTTCTTGCCAACTTCTCCTTTATATCTGAAGAGGCAGCATTGGACTATGTAACCTCCGAGACCGTAACCCCGTTATATCATTATATTCAATAATAATACACGGTCCATATACTCACAATCGGTACAAACATCGGTACAAACCGCCACGCAAATTGTCCCAGATTCTTTTTCAATTCTGTCCTTTGTTGAAGCCCGTCCGTAATTTGGCCCGTTGTCCGCTTGGAGTGACACTCGCATCCAAAGTCCGGAAGCTGACAACCACGATGACTATCGAAAATAAATCGTCTCCTGATTACTGCGGATACTATGGCATTTCTATAATAATAAATCATACGATGACGTGACTTGATCAAATATTACGATATACAATAAAAAAATTTATTCCAAATTTAATTGCGTAAAACATATATATATACATATATATATATATACATATATATATGTTCGGCGGAAGTCAAATCACTGTGTAAGATTTCACATGTAAGAATATTTATGACATCGAGCAATTAAATATCCCACGAAAAACTGCACTGCATGCAACGTGCGCACCCGGATCTGCATACGCCCTTTACTTTTATTTCATTTCTGACATAATAGCAAATTATACATTCCGATTTTTTTTCCACACACAAATCTTACACCATCTGCCGTTATGTTGATTGTTATGCGCGCAAGTTGATATATTTATAAGCATTATAAATATTATGTTCCAATTTTTTTTAAATTGCAGTGTGTATCACTATGCCATCTTTAACATATTATGAACATTTTTAATATATAAAGCGCCGCTGCGAAATTGATCATTATGGAATTGCTAGTCGAGAGTTAACCCAGAAAAATGCTGAGGTAGAGCGTGAAGAATAAAAGGATACACTTTCGGTACGAATAATAATAGAAGCATTATATTACGGTAACAATCATTTAATTGAACAGTTTTTATAAATAATGGACATTTACACAGTACTTATTATGACTTTATACAAATTACATTATGCAATCACCAACTACCGCAACGAACGGAGCGGCGACGAGAATTCGAGGATCAAGTAGTCAAGAGACGAGTGAACAGGGGGAGTTTGCGCAAGTGTACAGTACAATATCGCGAACTCAACGACTAACATTGAGAATCGTGAATATTCCTGCATTCGGACGACTTATGAGAATTATCCGTCGATCCGTCGAAAGCTCGTATCTCGTCCACGAGGACAGTCCCGACAAGGGCATACGTATATCTTTCGTCGTATCCATACAGAAAAAGACCCGTACGTAGATCCTTTATCGCAGGATCGTGAGAGAATGCAGTAAGGTAATTCGATGAGGCGAATGAAAGAGGAAGTTTAATGTTTTCGGTACGAAGAGCACACGTATATCCAGCCAAAAATGCTTCATTTCACGTATACATCATTAGCAGATTTTGCGCGCCGGCCAGTACAGCAGCTGTTTCGTCTTCTTATGCTCCCGTATCGAAAGAATTAAATAAAAAAAAAGAAAAAAAAAAGACAGAGGAAAACAATTATCTTACAAGGTACACAATGCAGAAAATAAGGTAGGAAAGATAAATAGAAGATTGTCAAACGACGGGGCGTTGAAAGATCGTAATCTAAAAGCGATATAAATAACAAAAGTGAACTAGAAACTACTCGCTAACGCTACTCGTGAAAGAGTTTAGGTACATCTTGAGCGCGAGCTACGCGCTCGACCGCGCCTATAATTACAGTTGGAACCCTTTATTCTTGACTCTATTCTAGACAAGCTGGAATCTTTTATCCCTGTTGACATCTCCTGTTTTCTAATCTTCTCTCATTGCTTCACTTTTATCTGACCGCACAATTTACGTTACAATCGAAAAAAAAGACAAAAGATACCGTACTTCTTATTTCTGTTGTAAAAGATCCATAATTCAGGAAAATTGAAGAAACCGAAGAGTGTAAAGAATAAAAAATTTGTACTCGGTCTCCGTGTATCAATAATAGAGGGATCCGACTGCGTTATTTTCATCGCTTTCTACTAACCTAAGATGTTTCTTGATGTTATGAGTTACCGCATATATCAGAAGATCGAAATTGATATAATTTAGATGAAATCAGATTTCGATGTACTTGCAGCTGCGCAAGAGTGATGTTGATGAGTTAAAATTAAGAATACCTATGCTTCTTTTCATATGTAGAGTTGAAATGCACCCCACTTTCTAACATCACATAAATTAAAATATATGTACAAACTAACTGTACAAGTTGACGTCTAAAAAAATTCTCATGACATTGAGAATTTCATTACTCGCAGAGTAATATTTCAGCGAGCCACCGCTCTTGTAGTTTTCCGTGCACAGCGAACATTCGACAATAGTCACTAGAGTGACTTGATGCATAATTAGCAATTAAAAAATTATTCCAGATTAAAAGTATATCCACACTTCTTTGATACAATTTTACACATAGTGAACTGTACATAAAACGAGATCAAAAGTAAAAAAAAGTTTATATTACAAGATTATTTTGCAGAAGAAATTGTAGAATAGATAGAAAAAAATGATGTCATATTTATTCGATAGGCATAAAATGGTCACAACTGTCGTTATATAGAATTTCAGGAAGGAACAACCCTAAACATCATTAATTTTTTCGATAATATATGTGACAAATAAAAAAATATATATATAGAAAGAAAAATTAAATCACCATGTCAAAACAACATAAGCACAAAGTAACTTTATCATGAAAATAATTAATTTTAAATTATTTTATATCATAATAATTAGAAAACACACATGTATAGAAATACAAAAATTAAATGATAAAAATTTAATTTAAAATATTATATTGTTAATTACAATTTATAGAAATATTAATTACAATTTATCACTTAATTCACCATTAATTTGTCAATTTGCGTGAAACATTGTTTACAATTCATTACATTAAAAGCAATGATACATTTTATAAAAATTAATATCGTATTACAAAAATTAATATATATTATTTTATAAAAATAATAAGTACAGTTGTACAATCCATTCAACAATACGAAGAATAAAACAAAATTCAAAAGCTCAGTTTAATGATACGTCCCTATGCTTCTTTGCAGAAATGATGTGTGCGACAAACCGTTCAATAAAGCAAGTAATAATTTATCATTAAATTATTATCTCGATTAAAAATAACGCATCGATCTTATATGTTTTCCGTATTTCGGATTGCATATCCGAAGAAACCAATGGTAGCATTGCACTCATTGTTCTTAATTTGATGAATTGCAAACAATGTTTTAGCCAACGGTAAATTAGATAAAACAATTATAATCGACATTGTTATAAATTGTGACGAGCGGTGACACGCCTAATCCTTGCTCCCTCCTCTTTTGTGGATTTGTTGGTGTTTAATTAAATGCGCTTTCTGTCTAAAAGCCTTACCACAACAATCGCATCGGAAGGGCTTCTCGCCCGTGTGCGTTCGTAAATGAACCTTAATGTTACTTTTGTTCAAGAATCCCCGCTGGCAAATGTGACATTTGTGTATGGGTTTCTCTTTTCCAATCAGGCCGGATTCCGGCCCGTACGGCAGGTTCGTGCCGCCGCCCATGCTCTTTTTGGCATTCGAAGTCTGTCCCTGTAACCCGGCGGCCGACCGTGACCTTTTTCTCGCATTCGAGGGCGCGGCGAAGGATGAGTGCAGAATGCCGTCGGGACTGCACGACGTGGAGACTCGATTAGGCGGACTGAGCGGCGAATAGGGACTCGTGGATGACGGGGTTTCGCCGCAGGACGCGTTCTGAAGGCCGGCGGCGTTGCCAGTCTGCAATCTCGCCTGCAGCAGGGGCGCGTAAGCACCCTGCGTGAGTAAAGTTTGCAGCGCTGAACCGTGCTGTTGCTGGGCCTGCGTGGACGGCGTCGTGGTGACGTAGATCTGCGAATACGAGTTTATCGTCGAGGTGTCCTGGCCCTTGGTCGAATAGTCCGTCTCGAGCAGACGTTCGAAGTCTATCCAGTCCTCCTTGGAATCCTGCTCCGAGCCGGGGCCGTTTCCACTGTTCGTCACCGTTGTGTCCGCTGTTATCGCGGAGCTGATGATCTCTGCTATGTCCTCGTCCATCAAGTGGTCGTAATTCATATTATGCGTCGATTGCGGCAGCTGTTGCTGCTGTTGCGGCTGCTGCGGGTGATGGTGATGCTGCTGCTGCTGCTGCTGCTGCTGCTGCTGCTGCTGCTGCGGCTGATGATTCTGCTGCTGTTGCTGCTTCTGATTTCCGGGACATGGCGTGCTCGAGGACACTATGGGCGATTCGTAGTATTCTTGATTGGAGGAAGGTGTAGGCGACGCGGACGGTATCGATGATCTCTGAGCGGACGAGGCTATCGTGTGATAATGGTGGCCGGATATGCCGTTGATACTGAGATTCGCCGTGTAATTGGTGAAAGGCGGGAGCGGCTTGAGTTCCGCCAGCGATTGCGTGGAGGCGACGCTGACCTGTCCGAAGATCGTGTCCCAGGTCTCTTGCAGTCCGATCGCCTGTTTCGCGTCCGGCACTCCCCCCTCGAGGAACTCCTGTCCATTGGCACTCCAGGACGACAGCAGCAGGTTCTCCACGTCCGGCGAGCCGCCCACCATGAGACCGGAACCCTGACTGCTGTGCGGCGGCTCGATGCCGGAGGAGGTTAAGTGCGGTGGTGCCGTCGGCGGGCCTGTCTGTGTCTCGTATTTCATCTCCGTCAGGATGTCCAATGTTGGCGAAATGGCGTTGGAGCAGTGTGGCGCGGCCACGTCCTTCACCAGCGACGCGCCGCCGGCGTTACCTCCGACGCAGACGGGCGGTTGCTTCGGCAGATCCCCGCCGGGATTCTGGGCAATGATGGCGTCTACTTCGTCGTGCAATGCCGGGGGCAGGTACTCGTCCGGCAATGCTGGACCGGTGTCCAAGACGAAACCCGTGTTATCGAGTTTCAGGCCGCGTACCACGGGCGAAGCCAACCGTGGCTGTTGTTGCTGTTGCTGCTGCAGCTGCTTACTTTGCTCCTGCCGTTTCAAATTGTTCGGACGATAGCCGAGCAGCAGTGAGTTGAGCAGGGGCGCGTTGGATGTCGGTAGTCGGGACGGCGGCAGCGACTCCTGGCGTTCCTCCGGGCGCACGCAGTGGATCTTCGTGTCCGTTTTGATGCCGATGTTCAGGGACGATCGCGCACCGCCGTCCAGCGAGTCAGCGGCGCCCGACGCCGCGTTGCCAGCGGCGATGCTACGTGTGTTTGTCGACGTGGGTGACGTCTTGAATGACGTGATGGACGGCGGGAAGAAGTGCACGTTGTTCGGTCTCGCGTACGCGCCGTCGTTGACGATCGCCGTGGACGTCGGCGACGAGTAAATCGGTATTCGGTCAGCCGAATAATTCGACGAGATGGGCGGATATACGGCGGTGTACGGAGGAGGAAAGGACGAATTCAGGGTGCAAGGCGGATTGGTGAACGGAATATGCTGCGGGACGTTGTACGAGCGCGGCGAGATCGATGAGGAATAGTCGTATTGTTGAATAGTTCTACCGAAGTTGCGATTGACGTTGTCATCAGATTGTCGGGGAGAAACTGGATAGTACAGGCCGGACTGATTCGTTGGTCGTCCGCACGCGTTTCGATAATCGCAATTGAAATCGTAAGTTTGATTATAGTCGATAAAGCCACCACCGACGTTATCGAACACCTGTTCGTTTCTACACTCCGGGCTCGAGGTTAAAGACGCAGATGAATAGCTCCCGGTACTGCCGGTCCTGTGGTGATAGCCGGTGTAATTGCCGGTGTGGTGATTGCCGAAACCTGGAACACATGAAGGACATCGATTGACGGTGACTGTGGGGAGAAATTAAGCGAGAAGCGTAAAAAGCCGATGTTAACGCCGACACTTGATTTTACGTGTTTTGTCTTAGAATAATCGATGCGTCATCAACGCTAACAAGGGGGAGACTCTATGCCATCTTTTCGAAACGGACTTTTCTTCGGTGCCGTAAAAAGGAGGGGAAAACTATAAGCAAGAGCAGCTCCGTGAGGCAAGCGAGGCATGTCGTACAACTCTACGGCACGCTTGTGGCCGATGTTCGTACGGTAGATAGGTAGGTAGGTTGCTGGTACGATCCGATGATCGTACATGCGTTTGCTCATGTGTATGCATACGCGCGCTCCTATATGTTTAACGTACGTATTCCGCGCGTAAACGAGCGTCGGTGTGCATACACACGCGCGCGCGCGCGCGGACGCGTGTGTGCGATGTACGCCAGGTAGACGCAGATCCCACTCTTCTCCCGAGAAGAAAGACTTGCTCCGGCTAACTGGGTTAGTGGCACGTTAGCCAGCTACGGCCGAGTACACTCGGCCGACCAAATTGCCGCGTTTAAAAATATATTTTTGTGGCGTGAATGCCGGCGAGGAAAACGCCGCCGGCGAGGTAAAAGGAACGAAGAAGAACGAGATGTGAATTAGCCGGATAAGGAAAGAAAGAAGAAATTTCAGCTTAATGAGATTAATTCTCGCCGATTATCTTATCGCACATTACAATGTACAACATGCCGAAACTTGTTCCAGTTACAAACAGAGCTCTGCAATCGCGCGAAAAAATATTTCAAAGTAGATTTAAAGTTTGGAAACTTGTTTTTCTACTTTCCCCTTTCCAAATTTTCCGATAATAGGCGCGGAAATATGTTAATATTTATTTATTTATTATTTTATTTCTATATATTATCATTTCTATTAATACTAGTATTTCTCTCTCATAAAAATTATGACTTTCGGCTATATATGTATAGTAATATTAATAAATATTAATTAAAACTAAAACTATGAATACCTTGGCTGATATATTTGGCATGTATAACTTGTGTCAGTGTAATATGGCTGTGAAATATTTCACTTGTATAATTCAAACATATAAGATAACGTTTGTCTTCTTAGGCGATAAATCGATAAAATATAATTTCAAAAAAGTCTGGTTTGCATCTTATAAAAAAAGAAAATTCTCTCTTTTTAATTTTAAACATGACGGCCAAAATATTCATAGCAAATATAAATATACATGTTATGGACAAAGTAATAAATGAGACATTATGCATAATGCTCAAGACCAGTCGGGCAGGGTGATAAATATTTGTTAATTTATCGTTTTGACCGGGCAATATAAATAAAAATAAATAAATATATATATATATATATATATATATATGAAAATTTATCACTCTGTCCGACTAGTCTCGGGCATTATGCATAATGCCTCATTTATCACTTTGTCCACAACATATATATATATATATATGAATATATATATAAAATGCGTGTAAATATTAACTGATGTTGTTTGGTATCGTTTGATAACTTCCTTTATAATTCTTATAGCACTGCGTACTAGTATCATTTGAAAGTTTAACTAAAGACTGCATTATATCCTGTAAAGATTTCTCATCCTCCTTATATGTTTTTTCCGGAGCTTTGCTGTATTGCTGCTTGATCTCTTTTGGATGAATAAATCTTGGTTTCTTCTTATTAGTCTTAGCCATCTTAAGTTCTTTGCTTCTGCTAGGTTAGCGATCTATATAACAGAGAATATAGAAGTAAATATTTTTATCACAAATTAATATTTCAATAATAATTATGTTAATATTACAATATTACAAAAGCAAAAAGAAAAAATGAGAGGAGTTATTCGTGCATCACAAAAATTATGCAAAAATCTAAAGCAAAATTGTTGCAAATATATTTTACTGCTAGATTGCAATATTATAATTACATTGTAAAATCTGGCTCTGCAGCTTGTTTGTAACGATTTATTTTGAATAATTCGAGCCGAAAAATTGTAATATCTTAATTATTCTTATTAAGGCTGTAATATAACATTGTTATTTTGCGATGTGATATCTTTTTTAATAATATAATATTGTATATGTGTGTGTGCACAAGCGAGCGATATGTTGCATAACAAAAATTTATTGCGAATTTAATAAAAACAATAATAAATAATGCAAAATTATATAATTTTCCGCAATGTAACAAAACTTCCTGCTTTTGCCATATTATCATTATATAGCTATTGTTATATAAGCAAGCACATGTATTTCATGCGAGAAGCGAGGGTACTTACCGAACAATCTGATATTTCATACATATTATTGCATACTCTTGTAACACTTTTTAAACATTGCTGTACAATATTGTTAACTTGTTAAAAATTTGCATAGTTTCTGCAACATTATGCTGTAATAAGTAATTGCAAAGTTGCAATGTTATTGCGATGTAAATAAAAATAATTTTATGTTAAAGACAAAAGAATTTTTAGAAGATTGTATATGCAATAATATGTGCAAATATAGATCTTCCTTTTCTTTTGTTTTCCTGAAAACATTTAACATTCTTATATGTAAAATCAAGCAACATATACACACACATGCAATTATACAAAGCAAATAAGCGACAAATAAATGAGCAAATGTGCGACAAAAAAACGAGCGAGTGAATAAATTGTAACCTAAAAAATTAAAATAATAATGAAGAAACCATACCAAATTAAATTAAAGAATAATCAATATGAAAAAAATGGCGGCAGATTGGAAGAAAAGAAAGGAGAAAAAAACTCGGAAATAAAGAAATAACGAAATCAAATATGAGAAAAGCATCAAAAAGTAAAGGAACTTTTTTGAAGGATTTGATTCCTTATGAATGTCTTTTTAATTTTTTTTCTAGTATATAAGAGAAGACGGGATTTTGTGAAGCAAATAGTTGAATATAGAAATAATTTTTACACGGCTTAGGAAAAAAAGGAGAAAAATGGAAAGCAAGAGTTCTGAATGTGTCGAATACGATTGAGTTAATGGTATTAACTTTGATTATAATGGTGGTAATGGTGTTAACTTTGATTAATCTAACCTAATCTAAACTGCAATGTCATTATTTTAATGCATAATTACGCTGTTAATTTTCACTGACTTATATGTATGTATATATATATATATAATTATGCATTATATGTAATTATGCATTAAAATGATAACATTGCAGTTTAGATTAGGTTAAATTAATGTAGGTTAAAATAGATTAGATACATTTAATTTAGGTTAAATTATAATTTATAATTCATTATTTATATAATTATTAATAAATATTATTTATACACTTATTAATTTATACAATTATTAATTATTATTTATACAATTACAATCACTCAAAAAAATATTTCGCTGATGTAGTTAGATTTCTAGATATCGCAACAAGAATGTATCGCTATTTTTTGTATCTGTGAAAACATTGTTTGTCACATATAGAATTTATAGCAGTAATGTTCTAGCAATAGCATCTGAAAAATTTAGGTACCATTGCTAAATGTTATTCATTGCATAATCGAACACGTGATTGATCTTATATAGATAGGCGCTTTAGAGAAACTTTCTTTTTAAAGTTCACAAACAATACAGATATATATTCTGTTTCTGTCATCTAAACTGATTAAGTAATTACATATGCAATATCACAACAGTTGTTTAATCATTTATCTGTTTTAGTTAATTTTTTACACCTAGAAAATTTTAGCTATTATTGCAAGATCATTTTTTGAGTGTATTTAATATAATTAATATTAATAATAATAATAAATTAATGTAACAGATACTTACTTGTATTAAATCATTTGATAGTATATTTATTATTTTGCACTTACAATACAACACAGAGTTTCGCTGAATCTTTTGCGACACTTTAATGTCTTAAATCTAAAGCACTAAAAAATTCTTTACACTTATGACGAGATTAATTATTTTGTTTCTTAGATTCATCTACGGTCAATGAATGATAAAATTGCATTATTATCATATTTTCGCAATTTATCGACAAGGTGATTGAAATTAAACACATATCTGGAAGAAGTCTGAAAGAAGATAAACGAATGCGAAAGTACAGAATTAAAATACTTGACTGTAAAACAAAAGACACGAAACTTCGGAGAGCAATAAAGAATAAAACTAAGAAATTTTTGTCACACGTAAATTCGAAATGAAGAAAAGACAGAGGAAATATCTCTCAATATAAGAGTGAAAAAAAAAAACGAATAAATCGCCAGCGAAGTAGATTTCCGGGTTCTCAATATAGTCATTGCAGTATGACAATTGTGCACTTCCGAATCGACAAGCTTTGACCACCTGCCAGATACCATAATACTTCCAGCAAGGGATGATGACCTCTACTCACGCAGCGTAAGCGCTCTTCATTGCTCACATCCTGTCGCGAAAAATTCGAATCGATGCCTTTTCTTCTTCCCGTTTCGATTGACGTATCCGCGTGGTCGCGGGAACACGTCATGAGAAACATGCAAATCAGCCCCGCTGACTTGGTAGTAACCTGTCGGTAGTGCCCGCAAGTGCCCATCATCGGCATCAATATCATCATCCCCCTCTCGTAGGAGCCCCCGCTCCTCGCGCCCTGCCGGACCGACTTCGACACGCCGAGTCCCCGTCCTTGTCGTCGGCTGGAGTCCGTCCTTGTCGAGTCGACGGTAAACGCTTCGGTGTATCTCCTCTTCCCACCACGGGCGCCAGGCCCCGCCCCCCTCCCGCGCCACCCCGTGGCAACCGAGAAACAGGAGTAGAAGGGAGAGGGGGTTCTCTCGTAGTGCCGTGACGTGTTCGCCGTGTACCGTTATCCAACAGCGCGGACGCGCACAGTGCAAGAACGCGGGGGGCCCGCATGCTACGATCGATCGGACCCGCTTTTTCGGGCCTACGACAATGTCTCGGTGAGCCACTTATCAATGGGATCACCGGGTATCCGTGCAGAGTGCGGCGAATTCGTACCGATTTGCGTGGAATCGTTTGGTATTTACAATGTGCCTGTGTTTATGACAAACATCTCTCTTTGTCTTCTTTTTCTTTTCTCTCTCTCTCTCTCTCTCTCTCTCTGAATTTAAAGCATTATCATACTATCATGTGAATACCAAACACATGTTTGCTTACGAAAATTCTAATTTTTATCGCTTATGAATGAGCGTCGCAAATAAAAATTTTATTTTTCATTATTGCGAGCTTGAATCAGTATTTGAATAATAGATGCAATGTAATTTGAGATGTGCAAACTCTTCTCTTAATTAATTATTAGTTTTAATAAAAAAATACTTTTCAGGAAGCAGATTTATCTGCTTCTTTAGGAAAATATTTTTACATTTTTACGCATCACATGTAAGCTGTTTTCTATTTTGAACTTTTGCTTTGAACCACCGAGGAAGAAGGGGCGTTATGTTTTTTTTTCTATAAGGCTTCCGCCGCCGAGAACGATCCCGGAATTAAACGTGCATTCGTCAGTGCATAAGTCACGTACTCCGTGCACGTGTATCGTGTACACGTCACGCGCGCGCACGCAAGAGTACCTGCATCCACATTTGCCCGTCCGTTCATTCGTCCTCACGCCGGAGTCGACGAGCCAGGAGTCTGTCGGGGACCGCGGCGAGTATCCGTGCCGTGACTACACGCCGAAACCATATCGCGCTCGCGCCTCCAGTCGCGCGCAGTGGGGCGGCCAAAGTAGGCCGGAGCACCGTTACAGCCGGCTGCACGGCCGAAGCCTACGCAAATCGACTAGATTTTGCCCGAATGGCTTTCCTTTTCGTTGTGAAAAATGGCGCGTGCGAGCCGCGGTGATTTCCGCGCCGACCCACTTCTGCGCGAGCGACCATGCGTACGATTTTCCTCGCGATTTCCGCACGCGCCGTGAACTTGCCTCTCGTACGTGACAAGCGGGACAACTTCAAAGGGATCGTCCAAGAGTTTTCGAATCACCTTTTAGATCTATATTCTCCGATAATTGATAATATCTGCAATTCGATGCGTTCTCTTTACAACTGCGATCGTTCCCCAAAGCCGAACGTCCCGCGAGTCTTATCATCCCGCAGCCAGTCGGAGGAAGCGTGCGGCGCGCATCAGCGCGGCACACTTGTTCGCACGATGACTATGCCTGGCTAAACTATATCGGCACGTATACTGGGGAACGGAAGTAGGCCGAGGCACCGTTACCGGGTAGTCGAGAAGCTCGGGAGGCCTACGCAAGACCGCTCAGATTTTGCTAAGCGCTCCGCAAGTCGGCCGGCGGCTTTCCTTTTCGTTACGAAAAATGGCGCGTGCGAAACGCGGTTCCCCGTGAATGACCCACATCGGTCCAAACGAGTCACGCGCTCGCGCGCGCGAGAGCGCCTCCGTTTGCACCCGTGTTCGTTCGGGCTCGGCTCGCCGATGGACGACCGGTTGGTGAGCCGCACGATACCCGTGACCCACACCGTAGCACGCAGAACCAGACGCGACCAAACGTGAAATTCATTTCCATACTTCCGTGTCCGGCTGTATGCGTAATGGATCTTTTCGCCTCGTTACACGACGCCGCGACGGACAACGCGATCATTCGTCCGCGATGAATACTTAACTTGAATGTCGTTTTCTTTTCCGAATCATAAATATTGATTGCAAGTTTTCAGTTTTTTAACTCATTATTTTCTTTATATTTATTCTGTGATATTCAATGTCAATTATATATAAGAAAAAGATTTCGTAGGAATCTTGC